AAATAAATAAATAAATAAAAGAATTTCCAAGCTCTTTTGAAAGATGAACAGTTACCCATTGTATCAGAGAAGACAGCTCTCTACTAATCTTTCTTTTTTCTTTTTTTGTCGGTTGTGGAGCTTGAACTCTGGGCTTGGGTACTGTCCTTGCGCACTTCAGCTCAAGGAGAGCACTCTACCGCTTGAGCCACAGTGCCACTTCTGGTTTTCTAGTGGTTTATTGGAGATAAGAGCCTCACAGACTTTCCTGCCCGGGGTTGGCTTTGAACTATGATCCTCAGATCTCAGCCTCTTAAGTAGCTGGGATTACAGGCATGAGCCACTGGTGACCAGCTTCTACTAATCTTTCTGTTCCTAAAAAACTCTTGGGATATGCTGTTACTGTAAGTTTAAGCACTAGGTAAACCATCAGATTATTCTTCATCCATGTCAACTGTTGTATATGCACAAGGATATTTCTCTTTTTTTGGGGGAGGGGTCCGGTTGTGGGGTCTGAACTCTGGGCCTGGGCGCTGTCCCTCAGCTCTTCAGCTCAAGGCTAGCGCTCTACCACTTGAGCCACAGTGCCATTTCCAGCTTTTTTCTTTTTGCTTATGTGGTGCTGAGGAATCGAACCCAGGGCCTCAGGCATGCAAGGCAAGCGCGCTCTACCACTGAGCCACCTTCCCAGCCCCGCACAAGGATATTTCTCTACTTTGAGAATATAATCAGAAATAAGTAATTGGTTCCAGCTGGGCACTACTGATTCCTGTCTACAATTCTAGCTACTCAGAAGGTTGAGATCCAGAACCAAAGTTCAAAGCCATCTGGGGCAGAAAAGTATGTAATACCCTTATCTTCAATTAACCAGAAAAAGAGGGAAGGGAAAGAGAAGAGTAACTCCTCTGAATAGCAGAAAGAATCAACTGTATAATTGCTGAAATATTATAAAATAGGCCCCACTAGGCTGGATGCTGGTAGCACACAACCGTAATCCCAGCTACTCAAGAGGCTGAGATGTGAGGATCACAACTGAAAGCTAGCCTAGACTAAAAAGTCTGAGACTCTTATCTCCAATAAACTACTCAGAAAAGCTGGAAGCAGTACTGTGACACAAATGGTAGAGAGCTATCCTTGAGAAAAAGCAGCTCAGCCCCTCAGTTCAAGTCCCAGGACCTGCACACACACCCCCCCAAAAAAAAAATTCCCACTAGATCTTATGCTAAATAATGACTGCAGTTTGTTTTTTTTGTTTTTGTCGGTTGTGTGGCTTGAACTCTGGGCCTGGGCGCTGTCCCTCAGCTCTTCAGCTCAAGGCAGGCGCTCTACCGCTTGAGCCACAGCGCTACTTCCGGTTTTCTGGTGGTTTATTGGAGATAAGAGTCTCACAGACTTTCCTGCCTGGGCTGGCTTTGAACTGCGATCCTTAGATCTCAGCCTCTGAGTAGCTAGAATTACAGTCATGAGCCACCGGCACCCGGCTATGACTTCAGTTTTGATCTAAGGAAAACAAAAATTATACAGATGATCAAAGATACCTTTTTTTTTTTTTGTCGGTCATGGGGCTTGAACTCTGGGCCTGGGCACTGTCTCTGAGCTCTTCAGCTCAAGGCTGGCGCTCTACCACTGGAGCCAGAGGCCACTTCCCGTTTTCTGGTGGTTAATTGGAGATAAAGAGTCTCAAGGACTTTCTTGCCCGTGCTGGCTTTGAACCTCAATCCTCAGATCATAGCCTCCTGAGTAGCAAGGATTACAGGTGTGAGCCACCGGTACCCAGCCAAAGATACCCTTTTATGTTAGTGGCAATTGATGAATATTATTACTTTGTTAATGTCATTACTGGAGAAAATGTTTTTTGTGCTTCTCATGGTATTTAATAAGTACTTTCAATATTTTTTTTTTTACAAATTTTCTTCTTAAATTACAGAAAAAGGGAAGTTACCAAAAAAAAACAAAACCTGCCAGGCACTAGTGGCTCACGCCTGTAATCCTAGCTACTCAGGAGGCTGAGATCTGAGGATTGAGGTTCAAAGCCAGCCCAGGGACGAGAGACCTTGAGACTCCTATCTCCAATAAACCACCAGAAAACCGGAAGTGGCACTGTAGCTCAAGTGGTAGAGCGCTCGCCTTGAGCTGAAGAGCTGAGGGACAGCGCCCAGGCCCAGAGTTCAAGCCCCACCACCGACCAAAAAAAACAAAACAAAAAAACTATAAACCTGAGTCAGAACATTCATCATGTAAAGTAAGCATGGTATATATATATGCTATAACTGTAGCCCTTGGAAGAGTGAGGCAGGAGAATTGGAAGTTTGAATACAACCTGGACTGTGTAGTGTGTTTGAAAACACACGGGGGGGGGGGGGGGGAGGTGTAGTTGTGGAGGTGGGAGGGATAGGATGGTAGGGGAAAAACAAAGGAGGAGGCAACAATGCTGGATAAAAAATGTACTCATTACCTTGTTCATGTAACTGTAACCCCTCTGTATTTTCACAAAAACTTATTAAAAACACGCGTTCATGCACGCGCGCACACACGCACATATGCACAAACATACACATATCATTACCCACTTCTTTTTTTTCTTTTTTTTTGGTCATGGGGCTTGAACTCTGGGCCTGGGTGCTTCCCTTAGCTCTTCAGCTCAAGGCTAGTACTCTTACCACTTGAGCCCAGTACCACTTCCAGCTTTTTCTACTTATGTGGTGCTGAGGAATCCAACCCAGGGCCTCATGCATGCAAGAGAAGCACTCTACCACTGAGCCATCATCCCAGCCCCATCATTACCCATTTCTAATCCATGATATGGAATTAATGCAAATAGGCACAGAAATCCTCTCTGATTTGGGAAGAGTTAATTTTTCTTTTTCTTAACAAACACAGTCATAAAAAGTGATCTTTGGGACTGGGAAGGTGGCTCAGTGGTAGAGTGTTTGCCTCGCATGCATGAGGTCTTAGGTTCAATTCCTCAGCACCACATAAGGAGAAAAGCCAGAAGTGGTACTGTGGCTCAAGTAGTAGAGCACTAACCTTGAGCTGAAGAGCTGAAGGACAGCGCCCAGGCCCAGAGTTTAGGCCCACAACCGACAAAAAATAAAAATAAAATAAAAAAATAAAAAGTGATCTTTATACTGGGCACCAGTGGCTCACACCTTTAATTCTAACTACTCAGGAGGCTGAGATCACAAGATCCAGGTTCAAAGTTAGCCCAAACAGAAAAATCCATGATACTTTTATCTCCAATTAACCAGTAAAAAGCTGAAAGTAGAAAATATTTCTTATTCTTTGCAACCAAAGATTGCAAATTAGGTTCTACGCATCACTAAAGGTTAATAAGAGCAACATCTAAGTGCCCAAGAAGCCATCTTCATAAGGTAGGAATGGTTAGTCTTTGTGCACACCATCTCAAGATTGACTAGAGCAACCACATTTTAATTTGGCCTTCCATGCATGATTTCATTATTTTGTTTTTTGAGACATTGTCTTTTTATGTAACCCAGATTAGATTTGAAGTCATGATCCTCCTCCCTCAACCATCAGTACTAGGATTACAGATGTGATAACAACATGTCTGGTATATAATTACTTTGAAATAAAGAATTCTGCTTAAAGTTAGTTTAATATTTTTGGTCTATTTCAACTTATCATTGCTCTCCTTTCAATATTCCTTCAATATCAGTGCCCTCTTTATAAATCCAAAGCCAGTTACCAAGGCACCAAGTCTTCATATGTGACTCAATACTGTGACCCACCCCAATTTGACTTAAGTTGCTACTTTTTTACTTAAAAGGAAAACAGAGCTAGGGAAGAGATAGTGACTTTTACCTGGAATATGCATTCATCAAAGTGGCTGCAGTTGTCCTTTTTGCTGCCCCCTTCTCCAAAATTTGATAAACTTCATCTTTGTTGTGTACTGTAATTTCTTCTAAACCTTTGATTATCACTGCCCTCTGACCAAGTATCAAAAGAACATCAATTAGATTGTTTTTTCCTAAAAGACTCACACATTAAAATCTAGAAACATTGCATTCTTAAAACTGAGTTACCTTGTTACGGGGATCATCAAACATCTGCAGTCTCTCAGATACATCAGAAGATGGATTAAGAAGATCAAAAAGTTCTTCATTATAGATTTCTAACAGAGATACTTTGACTGAAAATTCAGTGCCATTAGCACTTAGTTTCTCAAAAATTTGGTGAAGGGTACGAGGGATTATACCAGCCAAAGGATCCTAAAATATATTAACAATAATTATTATTATATATACTATTAGTAAAGATTATAGTAAAGAATGCCACTCACTGCAGTAGCTAAAACATATAACAAGGAACTCCTATTTTATTTTTTTGCTATACTAAAGATTGAACCCAGGACCTTGTGCTTGGTAGTTAAGTGTTTTCCCACGATGCTATAGCTTTTATCATTTCCATTTTGAGAAAGGGTCTCAGTAAGTTCCTCAGGTTGACCTTGAAATTATGACCCTCCTGCTCCAGCATCTTGAGTAGCTAGCTGGGATTACTACTGTGTGCCAATATGCCCAGTTATATGTAAATAGAAAATATTCGGGGGGGGGGAAGAAAAATAAAACCCACTTCATCTACACTGTGTCACTGTTTTCCCTTGTCATTATTCCCTAAACGATGCAGTGAAACAACTATTTACATATCATTTGCATTGTGTTAGGTATTATAAGTAATTTGGAAATTATTTAAGGTATATGAAAAGGAATATATAAGTTATTGGCAAATACTATATTGACAAAAACAAAAAACAAAAAACTTGAGCATCCTTGGATTTTGGTATGAGGAAGGATCCAGAACCATCATGCCACCCTCAACCCCCACAAGGATATCAAGAGACGGCTACCCACCAAAGTAAGTTTAAAAACAAACTAGCCAAGCCATACACCTATAATCTTACCTACTCAGGAGGGTGAGACCTGAGGATTGCAGTTTGAAGCCAGACTGGGGAGGAAAGTCCCCGCCCCTCAAAAAAGCCAAAAGTAGAGCTATGGCTCAAGTGGTAGCATGCAAACCTTGGGCAAAAAAGCTCAGGGATGGGGCTGGGAAGGTGGCTCAGTGGCTTGCTTGCCTTGCATGCAGGAGGCCCTGGGTTCTATTCCTCAGCACCACATAAGCAGAAAAAGCTGAAAGTGGTGTGTGGCTCAAGTGGTAAAGTGCTAGCCTTGAGCTGAAGAGCTGAGGGACAGCGCCCAGACCCAGAGTTCAGGCCCACAACCAGACCCCCCCCAAAAAAAAAGCTCAGGGATAGTGCCCAGGACCTAAGTTCAAGCCTATGACCAGCACTAAAAGTCAAGTCACTTACTTGTCTTAAAATCAACCACAATACTAAAATACTAATGGGAAATTCTAGAAATAATGTTTTTTTGGGTCCGGTCATGGAGCCTGAACTCTGGGCCTGGGTGCTGTCCCTCAGCTCTTCAGTTCAAGGCTAGCGCTCTACCACTTGCGCCACAGCGCCACTTCCGGCTTTTTGCTTTTTGCTTATGTGGTACTGAGGAATTGAACCCAGGGCCTCATGCATGCAAGGCAAGTGCTCTGAGCCACCTTCCCAGCCCCTCTAGAAATAATGTTTCTAAGTATTCAAAATAAACAACAAATTTTAAATTGTGCACTATTCTGAGTAGCATGACAAAACGTTGCACCATTCAGCCAGGAACATAAATCATCTTTGTCCCTTGTAATCATAATATATATGCTACCTGCCCTTTAGTACCTTAGGAGCCCTATTTAGTGTTAGTGTTCAAATAACCCTCATTTTACCTAATAACAGCCCAAAGCACAATGGCATGGATTCTGGCAATCCCTAGATATCAAAGAGAAGATGTAAACTGCTTCCTTTGAATGACAAAGGAAAAGCATAAGATATTTTGAAAGACAGGATGAAACTATATTTATGTAACTTTTATTTATAGCACATGGTTATAATGCTTCTATTAGTTACTGCTGGCAATCTCTTATACCTAATGTCTAAGTTAGGTATTATTATAAGCATGAATATTTAGGGTTTGGCACTGTGTACTGTTACAAGTATCTGTTATTGACTTTAGGAAACATCCCACAGGGCTGGGAAGGTGGCTCAGTGGCAGAGCACTTGCCTTGCATGCATGAGGCCCTGGGTTCGATTCCTCAGCACCACATAAGCAGGAAAAAAAAAGCTGGAAGTGGTGCTGTGGCTCAAGTGGTAGAGCATTAGCCTTGAGCTGAAGTGCTGAGGGACAGTGCCCCAGTCTAGAGTTCAGGCCCCATGACCAGACCCCAAAAGAAAAAAAACAGATAAGGAGACAGTACACCCTCAGCAGACCACTCTCTTTACCACTTTAACTATATGTATTCATCTTGTATTGCCCAGTGAGGCTGTGTGTTTAACAGCAAGCTTACCATACTTAATTTCACCATAATAGCAGTTTATCTTAAATTCATGTTTGACATGGTTTCTCTAATCTATATTTCAAGACATACTTGTAATAAAGTATGTTGTTGGTAAGGTAGAGTTTTGCCACACTGGAAATAAAAATATGTTATAAACAATAAATACCTCCTCCCAGGTGAATGCTTCATTGGGTGACCTTTCACCTTCCATTGTAAAAGTTTTCCCGGTGCCAGTTTGGCCGTATCTGCCAAGATTAACAGCAATGTTAAATCAAAATCAAATACATACATCTAAGCTTTTCATCAACTTGAAAAAGAGTGTTTTCTTACGCAAAGACAGTACAATTATAGCCCATAATAACTTCATCCAGAATTGGACAAACGACACTTCGATAAACATCAATTTGTTTAGTAGATGCTCCAAAAACCTATCAAAACAAAAAGAAAGATATTAAAGAAAACTTGTATAATTAATGTAAGCCAATTAAAACAAAATTCAAAATTACTCATTTGAATAATTTGTCCACCTGACAACTTGAGGGGGCAATTGAAATCTATATAGGTATATGTCACCATATTCCAATAGAAACACATATATTAGGATTACCTCACATCAGTGGAGAAATCAGAAATAGCATCCAGAAAGAAGAAAGTAAGTACCATATCAAAAGTATATGTTTTCCTTGAGCTCTTGTCAGTCAGTCCTCCAGTTCGCACACTAACTTCTTTTCGCGCGTGATCACATTCTACTACTGAATGGGCATTAGCTTTCCGCTCTGCCAAATTAAATGGCCTATAAAAAGAAATATCAAAGGTTATTCAAGAACTCTTGGCTGGTTATCAGTAACATTTTCTTTTTTTGTGTGCTGGTACTGGGGCTTGAACTCAGGGCCTGAGCACTGTCCTTGAGCTAACCTCTTGCCTGCACATGTGATTAAGTCACCAAATGAATAGCATTCAAGTTGTCAAGACTGAGCAGCAGGAAATTCACATAGATCACACAAAAATGACTAAACTTCCAGAAAAAAGTATTTCAAACCCGTTATTGTCCTCAGATATCTCTAATTAGAAAGTGCATGGTTTCTGGGCTGGGATTGTGGCTTAGTGGTAGAGTGCTTGCTTAGCATGCATAAAGCCGTGGGTTCAATTCCTCAATACCACATACACAGAAAAAGCCAGAAGTGGTGCTGTGGCTCAAGTGGTAGAGTGCTAGCCTTGAGCAAAAGAAATTCAGGGACAGCAGGGCGCCGGTAGCTCACACCTGTAATCATAGCTACTCAAGAGGCTGAGATCTGACGATCATGGTTCAAAGCCAGCCTGTGCAGAAAAGTCTGTGACTTTTTTTTTTTTTGGGTCCAGTCGTGGGGCCTGAACTCTGGGCCTGGGCGCTGTCCCTCAGCTCTTCAGCTCAAGGCTAGCGCTCTACCGCTTGAGCCACAGCACCACTTCCAGCTTTTTTCTTTTTGCTTATGTGGTGCTGAGGAATCGAACCCAGGACCTCAGGCATGCAAGGGAAGCGCTCTACCGCTGAACCACCTTCCCAGCCCCCATGAGTCTCTTATCCCCAATAAACCACTAGAAAACTGGAAACTTGGACTGAAGAGCACAGGGACAGCGCCCAAGCCCAGTGTTCAAGCCCTACTATCTACAAAAAAAAAAAAGAAGAAGAAGAAAAAGAAATTCAGGGACAATGCCCAGGCCCTGAGTTCAAGCCCCAAGACTAATCAAACAAACAAAAAGTATATGATTTCTTCTGATCACAGTTTGTTAACTTCAGTAATGTTATACAAAAATTCAAACCAGCCAGACACTGGTGGCTCAAGCCTATAATCCTAGCTACTCATGAGGCTGAGCTCTAAGGATTGCAGTTCAAAGCCAGCTTGGGCAGGAAAGTCCATGAGACCCTTTTCTCCAATTCACCACCAGAAAACCAGAAGTAGCACTGTGGCTCCAGTGATAGAGTGCTCACCTTGAGCTCCAGAGCTCAGGGACAGTGCCCAGGCCCAGAGTTCAAGACCTATGACTAAAAAAAAAAAAAAAAAAAAAATCAAATCACTAAAGTGGTGGGAATAGAAACTATTGCAACCACTACAGAATCTGTATGGAAATTCCTTAAAAAAAAACTAGGGCTGGGAAGGTGGCTCAGTGGTAGAGCGCTTGCCTTGCATGCATGAGGCCCTGGGTTCAATTCCTCAGCACCACATAAGCAGAAAATAAAAAAGCCAGAAGTGGTGCTATGGCTCAAGTGTTAGAGCGCTAGCCTTGAGCTGAAGAGCTGAGGGACAGCACCCAGGCCCAGAGTTCAGGCCCCACGACCGGACCTAAAAAAAAAAAAAAACAACTAAAAATAAATCTTCTTTATAACCCTCTATATATTTTTGGGCTTATATCAAAAGGAGAAAGACCCAGGTTTACTGCAGTTCTATTCACAATAGCCAAACTGTGGTAGCCAAACTGTGGAAGAAGCTAAGTGGATAAAGTGTACACACACACACACACACACACACACACACACACACACAAACACACACACCCATAGACTATTACTCATAAAGAAAAAAACAAATTATATTATTTGCAGGAAAATACACTGAACTAGAATTCATCCTGTTGAGCAAGATAAAAACTGAACTCAGAAATATCACATTATTGGTCAGTTGTGAAGAACAAGCTCAAAATGATAATAATGATGGTAATAACAATGGTAGTGAGACATGAATGCAAAAGGAGACTGTCTAGGAAGAAATCAGTGGGTGGTAGATGGGAGGGGGAAATGAAATAGAGGGATGATAAGGTTTGAAAGAAATTAAAACATATACATAAAGACAGCATACTGAAGTGGTGCTGTGGCTCAAGTGGTAGAGCGTTAGCTTTGAGCTGAAGAGCCCAGGGGACAGCACCCAGGCCCAGAGTTCAAGCCCCACGACCGACAAAACAAACAACAAAAAAAGACAGCATACTGAAATCCACCAAATGCTATTTGAAAAGTGAGAGAAGGAACAGAAATACTGAGAGGAGGTAAGTTTGTTTCAAGTATACACTATGTACATATATGGAAATATCACAATGAACCCTCCTCATATTACAAATGTATGTTCATCCCCAAATTAAAATAAACTAAAGCTCGGGCTGGGAAGGTGGCTCAGCGGTAGAGCTCTTGCCTTTCATGCATGAGGCCCTGGGTTCGATTCCTCAGCACCACATAAGCAAAAAGAAAAAAGCCGGAAATGGCACTGTGACTCAAGTGGTAGAGCTCTAGCCTTGAGCTGAAGAGCTGAGGGACAGCGCCCAGGCCCAGAGTTCAGGCCCCACGACTGGACCCAAATAAATAAATAAATAAAATAAAGCTCTTTGCATGTATGTCACCTAGTTACTGGAGATTTAGATCTTATGTATGATCTTCAATACAGATAGACAAATTCTGAGGAATAGCCTTAGCCCATTGTTTGTATTCACACGTGTGCTTTGCAGCTACTGTGAAACCAAAGTAAGTATTTGGAATATTCTTTTTCCTGAGATTTTATGTTAGTACAAGAATGAATTTATTGGGCTAGGAAGGTGGCTCAGTGGTAGAGTGTTTGCCTCACATGCATGAGGTCCTGGGTTCGATTCCTTAGCATCACATAAGCAGAAAAAGCCTGAAGTGGCACTGTGGCTCAAGTGGTAGAGTGCTAGTCTTGAACTGAAGAGCTGAGGGACAGTGGCCAGACTCAGACTTCAAGCTCCATGACCGATGACCAAAAAAAAAAAAAACAATGAATTTATTAGTGATCCATATCACTTTTTTTTTTGTCCGTCATGGGGCTTGAACTCTGGGCTTGGGCACTGTCCCTGAGCTCTTCAGCTCAAGGCGAGTGCTCTAGCACTTGAGCCACAGCACCACTTCCTGTTCTTTTATTGTGAGTAACAACTCTCCTCAAACAGAAACAAAGCTATCATGGATCCTCCTTCCACAAAGTTGTTCTACAAACAACACAACATAAAAGTAATTTATACTATGTCCTTAAAGTCAGTGCCCTTATTTAAACTTTTTGTGGTTTTTTTTTTTTTTGGTCTGTTGTGGAACTTAAACTCTGGGCCTGGGCACTGTCCCTCAGCTCTTCAGCTCAAGGCTAGCACTCTATCACTTGAACCACAACACCACTTCCGGCTTCTTTCTTTTTGCTTATGTGGTACTGAGGAATCGAACCCAGGGCCTCATGCATGCAAGGCAAGCACTCTACCACTGAGCCACCTTCCCAACCCCTCTGTGAAACTCTTATCTCCAATAAACCACCAGAAAACCAGAAATGGTGCTGTGGCTCAAGTGGTAGAGTGCTTGCCTTGAGCTGAAGAGCTCAGGGACAGCACCCAAATCCAGAGTTCAAGCCCCACGACCGACCAAAAAAAAAGAGAGAGAGAGAAAACAGTCAATTGTTGATGGGCACCTATGCTGGTGCTTGATTACTGTAAATAAATAAGTTGCAATAAACAGAACATTATTGTGCAGATATCACAATTGTATGAAAAAAGACAAAAACAATTGTTGGTAAAAGTGTGAAGAAACTCAAGCACTTGTACACTTTTGCCAAAAACATAAAATGGTACAACCATTGTGAAAGATATACTTGGTTCCTCAAAAAAAAGTTAACAAGCTGAGTGCCAGCGGCTGTAATCCTAGCTATTCAGAAAGGTGAGATCTGAGGATCATGGTTTGAAGCCAACCCAGGCAGGAAAGTCTATGAGACTCATCTCTAATTAAGCACCAAAAAGCCAGAAGTGGAGTTGTGGCTCAAGTGGTACAGCACTGGTTTTGAGCAACACAGCTCAAGAATGGCACCTCAGGGGCTGAGTTAAAGCCCCAGGACTGGCACCAAAAAAAAAAGTTAAAAATAGAATTATATGAGCTAACAATTCTAATCCTAGGGTGTGTATATGTGTGTATCCAAAAAATAAATAAAAATCAGGGGCTGGGAAGGTGGCTCAGTGGTAGAGCGCTTGCCTTGCATGCCTAAGGCCCTGGGTTCGATTCCTCAGCACCACATAAGAAAAAAGCCCGAAGTGGTGCTGTGGCTCAAGTGGTAGAGCGCTAGCCTTGAGCTGAAGAGCTGAGGGACAGCGCCCTGGCCCAGAGTTCAGGCCCCACAACCGGACCAAAAAAGAAAAAAAAAAACAAAAAATAAATAAAAATCAGAATCTCAAAGAGGTATCTGTATACTCATGTTCCTGGCAGCATTATTCACATAGGTAAAAGGCAGAAGCAAAGTGTCAATCAGCAAATAAATGAATAAACAAATTGTGCTATGCTCACACAATAGACTATTATGTAGCTTAAGAAAAGGAAAGATATTCTGACATATGCCACAACATGGATTTACTTTGAGGATATAATAGTAGGTGAAATGGGGCTGAGAAGGTGGCTCAGTGATAGAGTGCTTGCCTTGCATGCATGAGGCCCTGGGTTCGATTCCTCAGCACCACATAAGCAGAAAGAGCCAGAAGTGGGGTTGTGGCTCAAGTGGTAGAGCGCTAGCCTTGAGCTGAAGAAATGAGGGACAGCACCCAGACCCAGAGTACAGGCCCCATGACCACCACCACCACCACCACCAACAACAACAAATAATAATAATAGGTGAAATAAATGAGTCACACAAAAAAGATAAATACTATACCATTATTTCATTTATATAAGATACTTAGACAAAATCAGAAATGAACATTAGAATGGTAATTTTTAGGGGGTTAGGAAAAAGAGAAATGGGAAGTTATTGTTCTGTCCATAATCTCAATTTCTCAAGATGAAAAGAATGATAGAAATGGACATTGGAAATAGTTGCACATTACTATGAATGTAATTAGTATCATTCAACTGTACACTGTACACCTGTCATCCCAGCACTCCAGAGGCTGAGGCAAGAGGATTACATGGGCTATACAGAAAGACCTTGTCTCAAAAAACAACAGCAAAAGGTAAAGTCTATATTATACACATTTAAAAACTAGGAATAACTGGAAAGTTTCAGAAAGAGTGCTTATTAAATATTTCCTCTTCTAGACCTTTTAAAGAAAGGTGTGTCCAGCCTTGAAAACCCCATATGTTGCTTATTACTAAAGTTGAATGACAGACTTGAACCAAGAAGGCTATTTGAAGTCTAACCAGAAAAAAAGCTATATCAAAATTAGGGTATATATTAGACACAATCTAAGCACTTTTCATTGGTTATAATGTAAACAAAATTTCTTCTAAGTCACAAAGCTTGAATGTATGAGGTAAACCATGGGTGAAAGAAGAGAGCTACAATAATTGTTGTGCTGCTTAATTTGGATAATGGATACGCAAATGTTTGTTACAGCATGTTTCATAGTTTTATATAAGCCTAAAATATTCTGTAGACAGCAAAAAGTTAAAAAATTTAAAAAGTACAAAGAGAAAAATAATATTGTCCAGTTTAAGCTTTATTAAAATCTTTCTATTAAGCTTTTTTGAAGTAAAAATTTGATTTTGTCAACTATTCTAATTAAAAATAAATCTTTTAATTTAAAAAAAATCTTTATGACCCAGAGTGAAAGCTCAAATCTGTAATTATAGCTACTTGGGAGATAGAAATTCGGAGAATCTCAGTTTGAGAACAGTCCAACAAAAAAGTTAGTGAGAGGAAAAAAAAAAGATTTCCATCTCAATTAGCAAGAGTGTGCCAGTCATCCCAGCTATGAAGAAGCTTATCTATAGGTAGGAAGATCAATACTCCAAGAATGGCTCCTGTCAAATAACTAAAGTCAAAAGGGACTGGGAGTGTACCTAGCAAAGTGGAGTCCCTGAGTTTAAACCCCAGTACCCGGTTTAAAAAAAAAATAGAAAGAGAGAGACAAAGTCTTCAAAGTAAGTAACCAAAAGCTCCAGAGCCCAGCAGTTGTCATTGACTAGGCGTAAGATTATCACCAAATTTCCTCACTGGCACCTAGTTTAAAAACTTGGACTGTCTTTCTTACCCACATCTCAAGTCATCAAAGCTTGGTTAATCACCTAAGAAATTTTGTTGCTACTAATACTGCTTAAATAACCTTTTAATTTTAGGATACTTCTGCATTTACAAAAATATGCAATAATCAATTTAGACATCAAGAAAAAGCAGACACACAAAGCACACGTACAGGGATGGGCTGTACAAAGCGCCTGGAAAAGGAATAAAGCAATCACCAATTAAGCAGCAGTTTCGAAAACTTTGTTCCTCCCCTCTACTAGCTAATTTTAAAATTGAAAAGTAGGAAACACAGGAGTGAAAGCCAGCAACTCAAGGGCAACCTGGGAAACAAAGCAAGCCTTCGTTTCTTAAAAAATAAATAATAATAATGACATTTTTTAATCCGAGTTTTTGGAACCAGTCAAGGGAGAGTTGAAGACCTTCCTCTCACCACTGCGCCTCCTCCCCCCAACACACAAATCCTCACTCCTAAAATTCTGACTTTTGGATCTGTAGACAAAGAGGACGGTGAAGTAGAAGCTGCAGCTGCACCTCACTCTTCTTCATCCTTATGAACCCGCTATGGTAAAAATAAAGTCACATTTACGTGTTTGATAAACAGGCACAACATATTGCATCTCAAACCAAGAGAGCCAGGGGAATGACAGTCCTGCGTCCGGATTTACAAACTGACACCAGCACCGGAAAGTGTCACTTAAGTCAACATCCATTCAAAAAAAGAAAATAGGATCGCAATTTTCAGGAAAAGGAGCAGCGACTATCGCGTTTTTCTTGTGACTAGCAGTTTAACCACTGCCTCGAACACACACATTCTTCATCTGCATCTCATAGCAACTGGTATGAGATGCGCAGGAACCGAGGAACCGACCGGGGAAACAAACAACTCCCCGGGGCGGACGGCCGGCCTCCGGGAGGCAGCCCGGCGGAAAAGGCCCGGCGTTCGAGGCCCGCCAGACTCGCTCTCGTCCTCGCTCGTCCCTACCTGCATCTCACCACCACCTGGATGTTCTTCCCCTTCTCCTCTTTCTTCTTCGCAGAAGAGTTTGGCTGGGACGCCATCACTGTCCAGGTCCAAAGAATTTAAAAAAAGAAAAGAAAAAGGGCGTTTCGGGTGTCCACCTCCCCGCCCCGAGCGCTGGAACGGCCCGAAGGATCGACGTGCGTAGCGCGGCGTTCCCCGTCACTTCCCACCCGGAGCTCGAGCGGCAGCGACAGGGAGCCCCCCGCCAGAACCACCAAAACTCGTATTTCGTCGGCGCGCAGAAACCGAGTAACGACTGTGCGCCTCAATTTGAAAAATGAGCGGAGTTGCCAAGCCAATAGCAGCGCGGGTGCGCAAAGCACCATGGAACGCGCTGTCGTCAACGGAGTCCCGCCCCGGGGGCGTGGCTTACGCGGGCGCTGAGTCCGCGCCTGCGCAGAAGTTGTAGCCGGAAGGGAGGGGCGGAGTTGCCTTCCTGTGTCCAATCTGTGTGGTTTTGCTCAAGTGAAATGAAGTCGCTAAACCTAGGTTGTCTCACCAGAAAGATAAAACGGTAATAACTGTCTCAGAGGGTGGTGGGGAAAAGTAATGAGATCACGCGGGTAAATAGTATAGACCCGCTCATATAGTAAGCGTCTACGAAAGGCCAGAGTTATCAAGATTAGAAAATGGTAATAAACCCTGAAGGTTAACTTCCAAGGGACGCTCCCTGTAGACAGCATCTAGAATAGTTTTCGTTAAGTAGACATTGGATATCCTGTGAAAGACTTTAGATTTATCCTTTGATGAGGGAAAGTCACAGCTCAATGATTCCCAGCGAAAAGTACAAGATAGACTTTACGTTGCCAGGACCCGCGCAGTTGCGAGTGTGTGGTGCGGGATTGGTGTGCCCGGCTTCAGGAGGAGATTGCGCATGCGCGCCGTTCCGGCCTACAAATCCCGGTGTGCCTAGCGCTCACAGGTGTTATCGACCTCTGTGACCTCGGGCTTTCTGTAGGCGTGCTGGGCCCGAAGACCTTCGGCTTTCGTAGACGCGCAGGCCCCGGCAGCGTCGGGCTTTCCGTTAGCGCGCAGGCCCGGAGACCTCCGGCTTTCCGTAGGCGCACAGGTTGCAAGCCTCGGTGACCTTCAGCTTTCCGAAGGCTCGCGGGACACGTCCTGATTGGTTGGGGGTAACCGAGTCATTTATGGTGTGGGGTCGCTGGCCCAGAAAGTTCTGCCCCAGGCGTCTGTCTGTGGTCGATTCCCCGAGCTGCACTTGTGGGCTACACTGAGCCCCGTGGGACCTCAAATGGCAATTTCGCTTCATCTTCTGTCGTGGCCGGGCGCAGTGGAAAGCCCTGGTATCCCGTCCGCGTTCCTCCACTTAAACGCATCTGCGGGTGAGACCTCTGGCCCTGCCCGTCATGCACCGCCCGCTGCCTACCGATAAATTACCGCAGACGTCTCTTTACCCTCCCACATCTGCCCTCATCTTTTTCATCTGGACAGTAACTAGAACCTTCGGCTCCTGTCTGTCTAGCGCAGGCCTCTTTGTTCCGTCTCGTCCGCCACCACCCTCGTGCCAGGCTTTTATCTCTACCCGGAATTCCTGTTATCCGCTTCCTTAACGAGTTTAACAGCTTGTACTCTTCTCCCTGCCCCCACTGCTCTCATTCTGCTGGGGATATATCCTTTATAAAATAAAGAGAGGGCTGGGAAGGTGGCTCAGTGGTAGAGCACTTGCCTTGCATGCATGAGGCCCTGGGTTCGATTCCTCAGCACCACATAAGCAAAAAGAAAAAAAGCCAGAAGTGGTGCTGTGGCTCAAGTGGTAGAGCACTAGCCTTCAGCAAAAAAAAAAAAAGGTCAGGGACTGGGAGGGCCCAGGCCCTGAGGTCAAGTCCTATGACTGACCCACTCCCCCCAAAAATGCCTTCTTATACTACCTTCTCATTGTACTTGGAATCAAATCCAAACTCATTACCAAGCCTTTAAGACCTCGCAGTCTGAGCCACTTTGTATCTCTCACTACTAAGCTACAGAGTTTCAGTTTTTCTTTTGTAAGTCTGGCTCCTTGGTCTTGGTCTTTTTACTCTTCGCATCTTTTATCCCTGAGAAGATTTCAGATTACAACTCTAGGCTTTTCCTAGCTGGTACACACCGGTAATCCTACCACTGGAGAAGCTGAGGTAGGAAGATTACAGATTCGAAGCCAATGACCAATGACGGCTACCTAGTGAGTTCCAGGCCAGGCTGAACCACAGAGCTACATAATAAGATCCTGTAAGAAGGGATAGAGGAGAAAGAATTCAGGGAAGGAAATAAGGAAGAACCCTGTCCCTATCTACAGTATGTAATTACATTGTCTTGTGATTTTTTTGTTCTCCCTGTATAGAAAAGTTTCATAGGGGACCCTGTCTTCTTTACTTTTTTTTTCTTTCTCTCTTTTTTTTTCTGTCTTGAACTGAGTTTACAAAGTAGGCCTTCAAATATATTTGGGGCTGGTGATAGCTCAAGAGATAGAATACTTGCCTAGGAATCATGAAGCACTGAGTTCAAACCCTAGTGTAACAAAAACAAAAAAAAGTGAAAGTATACGTCTATAAAAGCACATATATGGGTACCTGGGAGAAGCATTTAACATCTCCCAGCTTTGATATTCTTATCTATAAAATGGAGATAATTTTTCCTTCCTTCCTTTTTTTGGTCAGTTGTGGGGCCTGAACTCTGGGCCTAGGTGCTGTCCCTCAGCTCTTCAGCTCAAGGCTAGCACTCTACCACTTGAACCACAGCACCACTTCCAGCTTTTTGTGTTTCCTTCCTTATTTCCTTTCTTTTTTCTTTTTTGTGTATGTGTTTGAAACAAGTTCTTACCATGTAGCCCAAAGTAGCCTTGAATGAACTTTTTTTCTTTCTCTCCTTTCTTCCTTGTTTTTTATTTGCTTGTTTGTTGTTTTTGTTTTGTTTGCCAGTACCAGGGTTTGAACTTAATTCTCTACCATTTGCACTATTCCCCCCACCCCTGGTGTTGAAATTTTAGTCCTCCTGCCTCTGCCTTCTTAGTGCTGGAATTACAGAGGTGTGTCACTATGCATGGCTTGAGATTTTTGTTTTTCTTAAGTTAAATATGGCCAGGTTAAAAAACACTATGAGGGATGGGAAGGTGGCTCAGTGGTAGAGTGCTTGCCTTGCATGCATGAAGCCCTGGGTTCAATTCCTCAGCACCACAGAAAAAAGCTGGAAGCGGTGCTATAGCTCACGTGGTAGGGTGCAGCCTTGAGCTGAAGAGCAGAGGGACAGCACCCAGGCCCAGTGACCATCAAAAATGAATAAATACAAATAAAAGTTTCACAGACTTTCCTGCTTGGACTGGCTTCAGCTATGATCTTCAGATCTCAGTTTCTTTACTAGCTAGGGTTACAGGTATGAGCCCCTGGCACCTGACTTAAACTAGAAGTTTTGATGATATGCTCTGGTGTGCATCTATTTTCATCCATTGGACTGAGCATTCAGAGAATTCTGTCAATCTGGCAACTTATTTCTATCAATTCTGGGAAATGGCTTTGAATTATTCATCAAACATCTCATTCCTTTTTATCTATTCTTTCTTTCTGGAACTCGTATGTATAGATATTGGATTTCTACTTCCCAGAAAATAACACTATTAAATATGATGGATTTCTTTTCAGTTGTCTGTATGTACACTTAGAAATAAGTGAGATTACAATTGAACATGTGTTTTTGCATCTTGAATTAGCATTCTTTTAATACTTTAGAAAGCCTGCATAAACATCATTTCTATTTATATGATCTTCTAAAATTCTTGAGCAAAATGTGCATTTCTGTAGTGAACAGTTGAGGACAACATGCTTAACTTTAGCCATGTGTTCGTAGTCACTAGAATCATGTCAGGTTCTGTTACACTGTGTATCTACTGTGTATCTGTGAGTATGAGTGCTTTTTTGGTTTTTGGGTTTTTTGGTTCTGGTCTTTGGCCTGAACTCTGGGCCTGGGCGCTGTCCCTCAGCTCTTCAGCTCAAGGCTAGCACTCTACCACTTGAGCCACAGCACCACTCACGGCTTTTTTTTTCCTTCTGCTGAGGAATTGAACCCAGGGCCTCATGCATCCAAGGCAAGTGCTCTACCACTGAGCCACCTTCCCAGTCTGAGTATGAGTGTTAAAGAGAACAATAGTAAATAAGTTTATATGTGCTTATAAACTATGAAAAAAAGCACAGTTCATGAACTGTTTATAAACTTAAAGAGGAACAGTTAAGAATATGTAAGTATATTGCCAGACACTGGTGGAAGTATAAAGCTCCCCTAAATCCAGATTTTTGTTACTATTTTTAATTTCCTAATAGAATCTTAATAGCAAAGGTTAATTGGGAGGAAAAGAGAAAAGTCTCCAGCTCAGTCTCCTAGCTGCTTGTCAGTCCCTGGACTCTGCCAGACTTTCCTGTCCTAAACCTTCACAAATGATGTTTTCCTCACCTGTTCTATGGTTGTCTCCTAGTTAGTCTCTTTCAAACCACAATGTAAATTATATCTTCCCAGAGAGCTCTTCCTGATGCAGCCCTCCTCCCCCAAATCTTTCACCAACCCCTTTTTATGCTGGCACCAGTGGCTCACATTTATAATCCTCGCTACTCAGGAGGCTGAGGCCTGAGGATTATGGTTTGAAGTTGGTCCAGGCAGGAAAGTCCAATTAACTATTAAAAATCTGGAAGTGGAGCTATAGCTCAAGTTCTAGAGTGCTAACTTTAAGCAAAATGTCAGGAACAGCACCCAGTTCAAGCCCCAGGACTGACATACATATACACACTAACTTTTAACTTTTAGTGACAAAGTTCTGGCTTGGATAGAAAGCATTTCAGGACCTAAGGACAATTTTAAAAAAAAAGAGGAGGGAGAATGTTCTGGGGAAGGGATATGCTAGTCCATGAGAAGGGCCATAGCAGCTGACCCTCCATTAACAGTTGCTGATGAAGCTCAAATACTAACCCCAGTGCTCTGGAAGTTTGCTCAGTTCCCTTCTGAATAAACTATGCCATGTGCAAACTTCCATTATCAACAGCACAAGACATGCCAAACCCCTATTAAGGGTAATATCCTTGTCTCCTCACTCCATCCTGAGGAGCAGCAGTAATATCAGAGGAAAGTCCCAGAGCTGCTACTTTGGTGAAGCTGGACAATAGGAAACCTTATCCTGGTTCCCCTTAATAGTAATTTAATCACATTATGAAACTGTTTTGTGCAATAATTTGTTTAATTCACTCACTATAGTATAAATCCATGAGACTTAAACTAG